GTAACTTTCAAGGGTGGGTGGCATTTATAGTGTTATTCTTAGTAGAAGGGGCTTCGCCCCCCCCCCCACCTTCTTACTCTTAGTCAATAATATATTTATTATTTTGAATCCTCAGTATTATTTAAGTTAAAGCCTTTAAAAAGGTCGGGGGGCAACGATAATAAAGCTATCTTTGAAATAAAGTTTAAACATTGAAAACTACACAAGGGACTTAAACAAACCGTCCCTCGCACCTTCTAAAATTCAGTGGAATATGACTGTTTGGCTAAATAAGAAAGGAATTATGCAAGAGCTTTATTTATTATTATTTATTATTATTTATTTAGCGATAGTGACTAAATCAGATATTTAATATACCTTGAACAACGGATATATAAGGCGGTAAAACCCTGTATCCTAAACTGTTGACAGTGTATCCAAACTTTTCTCCTAAACCATCAACAGTCTTCAATAAATGAAAATAAGTTTTAATAAAATTCAGTAGCACAAAATTCTTTGAACTTTGGAAATTGATTTACTAAGAGATAAACAAGGCTCCTAGAGAAAACAATATTTCAACAAGAGGAAACAATATGGCTACTAGAGAAAACAAAATGGCTGCTCGAGGAAACAGATGGCTACTATAGGAAACAATATGGCTGCTAGAGGAAACAATATGGATGCTAGAGAAAACAATAAGGATGCTAGAGAAAACAAGATTGCTATTAAAGAAAAGATGGCGACTACTAGAGAAAACAAGATGGCTACTAGAGAAAACAAGATGGCTAATAAAGAAAACAAGATGGCTACTAGAGAAAACAAGATGGCTACTAGAGAAAACAAGATGGCTACTAAAGAAAACAAGATGGCTACTAGAGAAAACAAGATGGCTACTAGAGAAAATAAGACGTCTAGAAAACAGATTGTGGTTAAAACAGTTGATTATTCCTATGAGGTTTAGAGTTTTCAGCACCATCTCAGATGGTTCCCCACTATCAGGACGGACTATCAGAACTCCATCACGTGACTCGATCTAGGAAATATGTCAATGAATCAACTCATCTGGTTTAATCGGTTCAAATAAAAACTTTGATGAGACAATCATTGACATTCATATTTTTATTTAAAAACAGCGACCAATCAACGTAAAATAAGGAAATATTGACCTTTTCCTTTAGTTCTTCCCCCATAATATGTTCCACCATGTTGAAAATATCATAGGAGTCGGATACAATAGAGATAGGGCCGGTAGGTACTTTATCCATGATATATCTATAATAAGAAATATTTTGTCATCTTAACATACTACAGAAAAGTAAATTTTAAAAATTTGATTACTACCTGACCGCTGCGCTTTCACCGTCTCTCCCCCAGCTGGTCATTGTGCTGTGCTCTGTGGCGGGAACAGAAAACGCGGCATTGTTCTCGCCGTAATATTTCTCAGCGGTGAATAGAGCAGCAAGCGTGTCCGAACCTTCAAAATTCACCAAATGCGCCAAACCACCGATTCCCGCGGATTCTACACTACTACTGCCCCTTAATTAAATTATAATAAAATGATTTAACTTTTAAAATGTATTTTTTTTGCTGAATTGGGGGAAATTGAATGAACATTTAGGTTAGAAATATCAAAAAGTGCGTACCCCTGTCGAAAAGCCTAACCTGTATCCAAAATCATGAAGCATGATGGGTAGTTTATCCATAGATTCGGCAGTTTCAGACAAATACTCGGCAATCTACAACAAAAGAAGAAAAATAAGAAGAAAAATCTGAAAAGACCCCCGAAATGGAATTCCTAATTTAAGTGGAATATGAAATAAAATCCTCTCTTGATTTTAAAAATGATACAAGTGGTTGTTCCTCCTACCTTGAGTAAGATCCTGTACCTACTGTAGTAGGATACACTAGTACTGTTCCTCCTACCTTGAGTAGGATCCTGTACCTACTGTAGTAGGATACCCTAGCACTAACCTCCTACCTTGAGTAGGATCCTGTACCTACTGTAGTGGGATACCCTAGTACTGTTCCTCCTACCTTGAGTAGGATCCTGTACCTACTGTAGTAGGATACCCTAGTACTGTTCCTTCTACCTTGAGTAGGATCCTGTACCTACTGTAGTCGGATACCCTAGTACTGTTCCTCCTACCTTGAGTAGGATCCTGTACCTACTGTAGTAGGATACCCTAGTACTGTTCCTCCTACCTTGAGTAAGATCCTGTACCTACTGTAGTAGGATACCCTAGCACTGTTCCTCCTACCTCGAGAAGGATCCTGCACCTACAGTAATAGGATACCCTAGTTCTGTTCCTCCTACCTTCAGTAGGATCCTGTACCTACTGTAGTAGGATACCCTAGCACTGTTCCTTCTACCTTGAGTAGGAATCTGAACCTACAGTAATAGGATACCCTAGTACTGTTCCTCCTACCTTGAGTAGGATCCTGTACCTACTGTAGTAGGATACCCTAGCACTGTTCCTCCTACCTCGAGAAGGATCCTGTACCTACTGTAATAGGATACACTAGTACTGTTCCTCCTACCTTGAGTTTCTGGAAGTAAGACCCAGTAGCTACTGTTGTAGGATACCAGGTCTGCACTAGAACTGTTTCGACATAGTTCGTTAACCACGGAACCTGACAAATCAAATCAAATCAAATCAAATCAAATCAAATCAAATCAAATCAAATCAAATCAAATCAAATCAAATCAAATCAAATCAAATCAAATCAAATCAAATCAAATCAAACCAAATCAAATCAAATCAAATCAAATCAAATCAAATCAAATCAAATCAAATCAAATGAAATCAAATCAATTAAAATAAAATAAAATAAAATGAAACCAAAACAAATGCAAATGAAATGCGAATCCAATCCAATAGAAATATTTTTATTTAATATATGATTTGAAATCCCATAGGATTCAATAATAATAATAAAAAACAGTATCTACAAATCAAAGGGATGTGTAATTTCTTGTGAATATTACGGATATTATTAGATATGCATGCTTTTGTTTAAATAAACTTATTAGTTTTATTTGTGGGTTCTCTGCAAAAGTGACTAGAGCATCTCATGCTTATGAGAATCAATGGCGAAATTTACAGCTAGAAATTAACACTTTTAAAGTCAGATTTTTATTCAGATTAAGGTTTCAAGGGTACCGTTGTGAATCGGACATTGCTATATTCGACTTTTAGACTTAAAATTCGCATACAGTCCCTTTAAGTGTTTACCTTTGGATCTGTATTTTCTACGCTGAAGAGAACATTTTTAGTTGGAAGAACTGAACCTTCAGGGGCAGCTCGGATCCTTAGGGGCAGTCTTCCCTTGTGCTCATGCAGGATATACTCCCAACCTAGATTAAAGGGACTGTTCACGTGATTTCAAACAGTCTTGAAAAACCGGGGTTTAAAAAAAAACAGACCAGTGAGGTTTATTGGGGTTTTCAGTTGAAAGTATTTAGAACCTTCAAAAATTCATACTAATTCATAATAATAAGACTTTTTTAAAGCGATAGGTGAACTTTATAGGTTATGAAAAATAAAAATATTGTTGTGATAATAGGCTATTATAATCGTATATAAATACTCTTCAAATACAATAGTATCACCTCACTTCTTTATACTGCAATTTTATATTATAGTTCTATGAATTTCAGACATACTTCTATTTTCTCACTTGGATACATATTTCTGATTGGGGGTGGGGCTACTCAGATTAATCGGTAGATATATATGTATATGCTCAAGAAGGGAAACTACTGTTAAATACCGAAAAACTTCAGCTCATTCACATATGAAAATGACTAAGAAATTTTGTATCCTTGTTCTATCGCAACAAATTTTGAAAACGCTTATGAAGTTCTGTGTATCTTTTTTTCAATATCAACATTCAACAAGCACTGCAGATAATCGATTGCTTCAAAAGTTTTCTACAATTGGATTTGTCTGGTCTAAAACCCGAAACCGTCTTAAAGTCCGGAGTGACCACTGACCAGGTTGATTACTTTGATTAATATTTTTTTTTAAATAAATCATTATTCGTTCTATATTCATGTTGTTAAGATCATTGGTTTAAGTCTTGGAAAATGAATAAATGTGTTACTTTCAGTGCTCCTAAAAATCAATTCAGTTGATAGTAGACCTTATTTCTTGAAGAGTTTATCATTAGGGAAGAAAAGGCAATGATTAGAAAAATTCTAAAAAAAACTCCAATAAAACCCAAAAAAGCCCACTCACAGGTGTTTTTTTTTAAAGTGGGTTATATTGGGTGGGGTTTTTTATGGCTGGGTTTTAAAATGCAAGTCCTGAATTTTCAAGCGAACCTCTCTTAAAAGAATTACATGCCAGATATGCAACGATTAATTTAAACTTTATTCTCTGTATTAAAAAGCAGGATATCGTAAATTTTCTTAAAAACTGGTAAATTCTATCAATTACGCGCCTTCATTCTTGCGTCAGGCTCAAATATGGAAAGGGTCCCGTTATGAATTAGATATGAAACTTATTAATTAAAGGGAAATTTGAAACTACGTCATAATTCCCTTATTCAGTTAGAACAAAGAGAACAATAGAGAATAATTGATTGAATTAATACGAGATTATATATTTATCCCTAGAGCAATAAAGTTTCAAGAATGATTAATAAAGACTTGACCTGATGAATTCTTCAAACTACTCTATCTCCCCAAACCGATGTCTTTACTGATATTTACCTTCTCTGTTAAAAAGTTTTGCACCCTTGAAGTGTCTGAATAGTAGAACGGTCAATTAGCTCACTCGATAACCCCATTTTAAATTACAAAAGAGATCTCAAAAAGAAAACATTTCAGGATTAAAAAATATTCATTTTTTTCATTATTTTTGACATTTTCTCCAAAATATTTTTTTATTCTAACCCTACAAATCAGTAATTTTCCACAATCCAGCGAATAAAGCCCTTAAAACGTACAAAACTTCTGGGGAAAAAAAATTAAAAGTGGAGAAATGATTTTTCGAAAAAATACACACCCCTGAGTGACCCTAAATTTCAAAGGTAATGACACGGAGGTTCACTTATAATTACGTAGGTTCTATACGTTGAGCAATAAATAGACCGTGTCCCTGTTCAGAATAATCTCTGCTTCATCAATCATCTGCTGGTTGAGTACCTGACCCACCAACCACTTCTTCAAGATGTACTGCAGCCCGAAGAATACTGAAAATTCTACAATGTGAACAATGTGGAGTACTAATGTACTGCAGTCCGAAGAATGCTGAATATATTCTTCATTGTAAATAGTAAATCATATTCAAAGTTGCCACTTACATATTGATTGATCAGAAGAAGTGTAGAATAATGATTGATTGAACACTAAAAGTGCTAAATATTGATTGATTGGATGAACAGGAGAAGTGTAGAATATTGATAGATTAATTGAACTGTAAAAGATTAGAATATATAATTGATTAGATTGATTCATTGAACTGTAGAATAATGATCGATTGATTGAAGAATATCGATTAGCTGAGCAGTAGAATTATGATCGATTGATTGAAGAATATTGATAAGTTGAACTGTAGAATATTGATTGATTAATTGTAGAATATTCCTGTTTTATCATATTTTCCACCCCTGGACTCGAAGTAGGAGTAAACTCTAGTAGTGCCAGGGGGGTACTGAAGATGATGACTGAGTATAACTCAAAATTAACAAAAAGGCTTATTTGAAAAATATAGTTTTTACGTATATTATAATACACTTATTACGAATAAAATGTTTAAAGATCTGGGGGAATCTAATAATTGTCATTAACTTTGTGAAACCTTTAACCAAATGTTTCTTGGTAAGTCTCTTATTATCCCCATTCTGCACTTCAGTGTTAAATAACCTAAAAACATTTTTTCCAGAGGGGAGTGGGGGAAGGGTGAAATAATTTGTCATAAGTCAATTAAGTAATATGATTTTTAAAATGCGTAATTCTGATGGTGCATTTCCTGATCTTATAACTGTCAGCCAATAGAATCACATTGTTAAGTTCAGGTCCCATTTTTCTGAAATATTTTAATATAGTTGGTGGACAATAAGTACGTTTTCCATAAGAATATGTACATAATATACAAGACTAATTGGTTTATTATTCACTATGTACAATTTCTGAGGAGATATAGGGACGATCAGGGGGAAAGGAATTTGGATAATGTTTACAACAAGTTCCAGTTCCGTCCTAATATGTAACATCAAAATGTAAACAAACCCTTAAACACCTCTTCTTAGTTCGACTATGATCACTATGAGAAAGTATTCTTATTTTCTATAGCCGGATTGTTAGAAGAACATATCAGCCCTTTTTATAAACCATTTCCGGCCTGCAGATGGGACATATCTGGTCTATTATCGATCATATCCAGCCTATTAATAATACATGCCAGGCCTATTTATAAAACATATCCGGCCCAATTATAAAATTCAAGGCGCTTCGCGCCCTTCTTCTAGGCTGTTAGGGGGCCCATCTTCTATTTAAATTTTGAACATGTTCTTTATGTTTACATTTTAAAACAAAGAAGAAAAATTTTTTGTGGATTTAAAAAAAAAAATTCGAGGATTTTCAAGAATTTTTTTTTTACAAAATTAAAAACCTTTAAAACACATTTTTTAAAATTTTTATCATTCATAACCTTCCCTGGGGTCATGTGAGGTCCCACAAAAAATTTGGGCCCGATCGGCTTAGCCGTTTTGACGTTTATTGGATACAAACAAACAGACAAGCCAAATTTATATATAGATAACAGATAGGACATATCCGGCCTATTTATCAAACATATCCTTTAAAATCTTGAAACTCTTGACAAATCTCTTCTCATTATCCACAGATGCTTGTCGCCAGGACTTCCGAACCTCCCACCATCTTAAACAAATATTTATCAACTAATCAATCAATCAATCAACCACGTAATTCTATACATCGATCAATCAAACTAATTTCAACAAAACATCAATTAAAATTCGACAAATCGATCATTTAAATTAAATTCTACGAATCAATCAATCAAACTTATCAAAATTCTAAACATCCATCAATCAAACTAATAAAAATTCTACAAATAATTCAACTAAACTTGAATTTTAAACAATGGACAGTTCCAAGCACTAGCCACACTGAACTGTATAAAAATTAATTTAGGGAGGACTAGTACAATCTTTATTCCAACCTTCTGATTTCAAAAATAATGAATAAGAATAGAAGAAGTTCAACTATCATACATGGTTTAACTAATTCTCGCATTATATGAATCAGACCTTTGAGGGATCTAAAAATTGAGTATCTTACCTGACCATATGGTTACTGAGGAGTACAGCAGGGGGAGTTGAATCCGAGTGTTGAAGTTCAATATCTACTCCTTCTAGGACAGGAGGGGGACCTAATGGAGGTATCCTGGGACACCTAGACAATATAGTTCTATATCTACTCCTAGGACAGGAGGGGGACCTAATGTAGGTATTCTGTGACACCTAGACAATATAGTTCTATATCTACTCCTAGGACAGGAAGGGGACCTAATGGAGGTATTCTGTGACACCTAGACAATATAGTTAGGAAAGGAGGGGGACCTACAGGATGTATCCTGGGACACCTAGACAATATAATCCTATATCTACTCCTTCTAGGACAGGAGGGGGATCTAATGGAGGTATACTGGGACACCTAGACAATAGAGTTCTGTATCTACTCCTGGGACAGGAGGGGGACCTACCGGAGGTATCCTGGGACACCTAGACAATATAGTTCTATATCTACTCCTTCTAGGACAGGAGGGGGACCTACAGGAGGTATCCTGGGACACCTAGACAATATAGTTCTATATCTACTCCTTCTAGGACAGGAGTTCAATGTTTATTGTTTACCCATATCCTTTATAGAAAATAAATTGTATGCACCTGTCCCCGGTAGTAGATTGAGGAGGATCAGGTGGGGGTAGAGAATAAACATCAGGAGACTCCTCTGTACTGGAACCAGGGGGAGGAGGAGGCGTAGGAGTTCTCTCCCGGGGTCCTTGGTTTACATTACTTGGCTCATTTCTCATCCAAGCTCTACACAATTAAGTAAGGATAGACAAAGTAATTTTAAATACTCTTGAAAAAACGTGTTATTAAAACCCGTATATTTTCTCGATTCCTCACAACTCCGAAGTACAGTTGGTAGGTCAAATCTCCAAAATATCTGAATTTTAATTTGATACTCGTTGAAAAGGGACGTTTTTGATTCATTTTATAGATACATTTAATACGGTTTGGCATAATAATACATATAATAGGGTTTTTCTAGAACTCCTGACTTATATTAATGCAATATTTCAACTGATATTTAAATTCACACTGTGCAAAGTTTCAGAAGCATTAGGACTCCACCCAGTAAGTGAGAGGGGGGTCATTTAAATTAAATTCTACGAATCAAT